GAATCACTTGAACCTGGGTGGCAAAGGTTGCAGTGAGCCGAGATCACACCATTGCACTCCAGCCTGGGTCTCAGAAGGAGACTCTGTCTCCAAAAAAAAAAAAAATTGTTTTGTTTGATATAAAACTAGCTACTCCTGCTCACTTCGGGTGTTCATTTGCATGAAACGCCTTTTTCCACCCCTTTACTTCAAGTTTATGTGAGTCTTTATGTGTTAGGTGAGTCTCCTGAAGGCAGCAGATGGTTGGTGAGTTCTTATCCATTCTGCGGTTCTGTATCTTTTAAGTGGGGCATTTAGGCCATTTTCATTGTTAGTACTGAAATGTGGTGTACCATTGCATTCATCATGCTCTTTGTTGCATGTGTACTTTGTTTTATGTTTTTGCTTTTTAACTTGTAGTTTTGTTTTATAGGTCCTATGTGATTTATGCTTTAAAGAGGTTCTCTTTTGATGTGTCTCCAGCATTTACTTCAAGATTTAGAGCTCCTTTTAGCAGTTCTTGTAGTGGTAGCTTGGTAACGGCAAATTCTCTCAGCATTTGTTTGTCTGAAAACGACTGTATCTTTCCTTCATAAGTGATGCTTAGTTTCACCGGATACAAAATTCTTGGTTGGTAATTGTTTTGTTTGAGGAGGCTGAAGATAGGTCCCCAGTCCCTTCTAGGTTTTAGGGTTTCTGCTGAGAAATATGCTGTTAATCTAATAGGTTTTCCTTTATAGGTTAGCTGGTTGCTGTCTCAGTTCTTAAGACTTTTTCTTTCATCTTAACTTTGGATTATCTGATGACAATGTGCTTAGGTGAGGATCTGCTTGCGATGAATTTCCCAGGTGTTCTTTGTGCTTCTTGTATTTGGCTATCTAGGTCTCTTACAAGGCCAGGGAAGTTTTCCTCAATGACTCCCCCACATACATTTTCCAGACTTTTAGAATTATCTTCTTCCACAAGTACACCAATTATTATTAAGTTTGGTCATTTAACATAATCCCAGACTTCTTAGAGGCTTTGCTCATATTTTCTTATTTGTTCATATTTTCTTATTCTTTTTTCTTTTTTTCTTATTTATTTATTTATTTATTTTGAGACGAAGTCTCGCTCTGTCACCCAGGCTGGAGTGCAGTGGCCGGATCTCAGCTCACTGCAAGCTCTGCCTCCTGGGTTTACACCATTCTCCTGCCTCAGCCTCCCGAGTAGCTGGGACTACAGGTGCCTGCGACCTCACCCAGCTAGTTTTTTGTATTTTTTTAGTAGAGACGGGGTTTCACCATGTTAGCCAGGATGCTCTCGATCTCCTGACCTCGTGATCTGCCCGTCTCGGCCTCCCAAAGTGCTGGGATTACAGGCTTTAGCCACCGCGCCCGGCCTTTAATTTATTTTTTATTATACTTTAAGTTCTAGGGCACATGCGCACAACGTGCAGGTTTGTTACTTTTTTGTCTTTGTTGGATTGGATTAATTTGAAGACCTTGTCTTCGAGTTCTGAATTTCTTTCTTTCTTTTTTTTTTTTTTTTTTGAGATGGAGTCTCGCTCTGTAGCCCAGGCTGGAGTGCAGTGGCTGGATCTCAGCTCACTGCAAGCTCCGCCTCCCGGGTTTACGCCATTCTCCTGCTTCAGCCCCCCGAGTAGCTGGGACTACAGGCGCCCGCCACCTCGCCCGGTTAGTTTTTTGTGTGTGTGTATTTTTTAGTAGCGACGGGGTTTCACCGTGTTAGCCAGGGTGGTCTCGATCTCCTGATCTCATGATCTGCCCGTCTCGGCCTCCCAAAGTGCTGGGATTACAGGCTTGAACCACCACGCCTGGCCTGAATTTCTTTCTTCTACTTGTTCAATTATATTGCTGAGACTTTCCAGAGCATTTTGCATTTTTAAAAGTGTCCAAAGTTTCCTGATTTTTTTTTTCTTTAAGCTATCTATTTCCATGATATCTCTCCCTTCACTTTTTTTTTTTTGAGACAGAGTCTCACTCTGTCACCCAGGCTGCAGTGCAGTGGCGTGATCTTAGCTTACTGCAAGTTCCACCTCCTGGGTTCATGCCATTCTCCTGCCTCCGACTCCCGAGTAGCTGGAACTACAGGCACCCGCCACCACGCCTGGCTAATTTTTTTGTATTTTTAGTAGAGACAGGGTTTCACTGTGTTAACCAGGGTGGTCTAGATCTCCTGACCTCATGATCCGCCTGCCTTGGCCTCCCAAAGTGCTGGGGTTACAGGTGTGAGCCACTGCGCCCAGCCTCTCCCTTCACTTCTTGTACCAGTTTTTGGATTGCCTTGCATTGGGCTTTGCCTTTCTCTGGTCTACCCCTGAGTAGCTTAATGACTAACCTCCTGAATTCTTTTTCAGGTAAATCAGGGATTTCTTCTTAGTTTGGATCCATTGCTGGTGAACTAGTGTGTATTTTTGGGGGTGCTGAAGAACCTTGTTTTGTCATATTACCAGGGTTGGTTTTCTGGTTCCTTCTCATTTAGGTAGGCTCTGTCAGAGGGAAGGTCTAGGGCTAAAGGCTGTTGTTCAGATTCTTCTGTCCCACGGGGTGTTCCCTTGATGTAGTACTCTCCCCCTTTTCTTATGGATGTGGCTTCCTGTGAGCCAAACTGCAGTGATTACTGTCTCTCTTCTGGGTCTAACCACCCAGAGTCTACCTGGCTCCGGGCTGGTACTGGGGACTGTCTGCAGAGTCCTGTGATGTGAACCATCTATGGGTCTCTCAGCCATAGATACCAGTGCCTGTTCTGGTGGAGGCAGTCAAGGGTGCAACGGACTCTGTGAGGGTCCTTAGCTTTGGTGGTTTAATGCTCTATTTTTGTGCTGGTTGGCCTCCTGCTTGGAGGTGGTGCTTTCCAGAAAACATCAGCTGTGGTAGTGTGGAGAGGGAGCAGCAGTGGGCAGGGCCTTAGAAATCCTAAGATTATAGGATATCTTCCACTTTGTCTTCCACTACCAGGGTGGGTAGGGAAGGACCATCAGGTGGGGGCAGGGCTAGGTATGCATGAGCTCAGATTCTCCTTAGGCGGGTCTTGCTGCAGTTGCTGTGGGGGATGGGGGTGAGATTCCCAGGTCACTGGAGTTGTGTACCTAGGAGGATTATGGCTGCCTTTGATGAGTCATGCAGGTTGCCAGGGAAGTTGGGGAAATACAGCAGTCACAGGCCTCACCCAGCTCCCACGCAAACTGAAGGGCCAGTCTCACTTCCACCATGACCCCCTCCAACAGCCCCAAGTCTGTTTCCAGTCGGAGAGTGAGAGGGGCTTGAGAACTTGCCTGAGGCTATTTGCCTTCCAGAGTATTTAGGGTGTCTCCTGGGTCCTGCAGAAGCAACCCACTTCCTTCAGAGGGACTGTGGGTCCTCTCGGGATTGCTGTTTTGTTCTTGTAGTCGATCTGGAGCTCCATAGTCCTCCCTGCAGGACCCACCAGCACAACAAAGAGCAGCCTGCCAACCATCTTAATATTTGTGCGGATATCTCAGCCTCCTTTTAATGCTCTTTTGGAAAACAGACACATTTGTGAATCTGATAAAGGATGTGGACCTCGTACTTGAAAACCCATATACTTTAACACACAACTTCGAGACATTCATACATCTATTAGAATCCATATATAGAACATCCTCAGAGGTCCATAGACCCAAAGTTTCCTTCTAGACCTCTGGTCTAGAAGGAAAAAAAAAGTTAACATTTACTGAGTATCTATTATATGCCAGACACTATTCCAGGTGTTAAATAGATTTTTCTCAATTAATCATGACAACCCCATGGAGTAGGTACACTGTTCTCTATTTTACTGACAAGAAAACAGTAGCAGAGAATGTCACTTGCTCCATCCAGGTAAACAGCCAGTAAATGACAGCACCAGGGAGCCCCTCCTCTAAGCTACTAAGTCACAGCTGTGAAATCAAAGACATGTAAGCAATTAAAAAAAAAATTGTATATGGTTACACACACCATAATCATAGCTTCTTTTTTGGGGGGTGGGGAAGCATGTGGATAATCTGCCTCTCCAGAGATCTGAGGAAGTAGAGATAATGTGGCACTGGTTGGTGGGGAGATACTTGGCTAAGTATCTCAGGCCCACCACTAATATTCATGGCACAACACAAAACAAAAGCTAGTCAGGCCCACCGCTTGGCTTCCCAAGAATAGATCTGTGGCAGTGACAGTAGTCCTTGAACTTGAGTTCTTGACGGTGTAACTGAGATTAGTGCTGGGGTCCAAAATTTAAATTATCTCTAGGGGTTGGAATGTAATGCAATTGTGACACCAGGTTGGAATAAGGCATTTGGGCGGCGGGGGGCATGGTCAACTGGAGAGTACACGTCCTGTCTCAAGACATTCACATTTAAGAAAAACAACCCCCATGAGGGCCAAACAAAAGACATATTCAGACCAGGTGCAGTGGCCTGTAATCCCAGGACTTTGGGAGCCCCAGGCAGGCAGATCCCTTGAGCTCAGGAGTTTGAGACCAGCCTGGGCAACATTGTGAAACCCTGTCTCTACTAAAAATACAAAACCTAGCCAAGCGTGGTGGCGCAGGCCTGTAATCCCAGCTACTTAAGAGGCTGAGGCACGTGAATCACTTCAACTGGGGAGACAGAGGTTGCAGTGAGCTGAAATTGTACCACTGCACTCCAGCCTGGGCAACAGAGCAAGACTCTGTCTCCAAAAAAAGATACACACATGCACACACACACACACACACACACACACACACACAAAAGACATATTCAGACATATTCAGCCCAGTGGGCCATCAGTTTGCGACCTGCGAATAGACCGTTCCCTTCCCACTCCAGGTTTTTCCCACGTCAAGAGTCAGGAATGCAGGGAATGCAGTCTGTGGGAAGGGGACACAAGCTGACCCACGTGACAATCAACGTTGTGATTTCCATTCCGTTAGAGCTATGCTTTTTACATGCTAACCAACCCAGCAGTAGGTCACTAGCAGAAAGGTCCAGACACCAGAGATGAAGAAACATCAGGAAGTAAATGATAGTACACAGGACGTACCTCATACATAGAGCGCATTCAAGGTCAGATGCGTCGAAAGATGCAAGTGGTAAACTGAGAGCAGGTTTGTCCCCCTGATCAGTGGGAGGATCTGTGATTTAGAAAGCAAGAAGTCAGCAGTGGAGCAACCTCGGTTTCATAGATAGTACTTCTGAGGCAAAAGAATCCAATGCATTTTTCAGTTTGCCACTCTCACCACCACCTCCCAGAGAGTTGATTTAATGGACACCTGAGCCATTGAGAGTGGGACACTCAGAAGTAGGTTCTCAGAGGTTTCCAGCAGCCCCAACAGAAAGAGAAATGCAAGTCAAAGAATGTCCAGGAGCCCTGGGGACTTCATTCAAATGCAACAGGCACCTCTCTCAACAGCAGAAGCTACAGCAACTCAATGGATTGAGCCAGGCCTTCAAAGCTAAAACTGAATCTTGGCACTGCCAAACTCTCGTGGAAAGATAGCAAGCCACAGCTGCAGCTTCTCACATGCCTACCTATGGGAACACAGCTGGGAATGAGCAGGGTGAGGCCTGACCTCACTTTCCTCATCCTGCATTCCTAAAATGGGGATGAGGGTAGCGAGAGGTTGCCCTAGAAGGAAGTGGCATCCCCATGGGTATGGGATGCCATTAGTTGATACTGTGCTTGACCTAATGCCTTGGCGTTCCATTATATTAATAATTAGTATCAAACACTTACTACAGTGTGCTACGCACAGTGCATGCTCTCACAGAAGCTTCATAGGAATCTTTGAGGCCACACAGCTCATAAATGCCAAAGCTGGGTCACACACCCAGAGACTAAGGAGCCCCCGGACAGAGGTAAGTAACTTGTATACACTGGTGAGCCCAGGGATCTCCTCCAAGCTACCTTCTCCCTGGGTAGAGCCAGTACCTTGCTTGGAGGCTTTATTAGGCATCCCTGTGTCTTCTTGGGATTCAATTTGGCAATGTTTCCTTTTCTTTTCCTGGCATTTTCCAGTCTTGCTGGAAGCAGCTTTTGGAGAGGTAGCATCCCACTTCTCCTCCTCTTCTTCCTGGTCTTTGATGTGGTGCTGCTGACCATCCCCCTTCACTTTAGCTGGATCCATCAGACTGCTGCCGTCTCCCCTGGCTGCTGCTTCCTCCTGACTAGAACAATGTGGGAGCTCCAGATTGTCCTGGATGAAGAAAGAGCCACATATCAGAATCTTCTTAGGACCAATATTGTCCTCTGATATTCTTACCCAGAGGGACAAAGGGAAACTAGAGAGTCCTGATCCCCACCCCAATTGCAGAGTGAACACAGAGCTCAGCTGGGGGGCCATCATAAGGTATTATTTCCTACTTCTTGTTCACACAGCATCTGCAACCAAGGTATGCCCAGCTTGGGTGGAGTTAGGGAACTTCCCTAGGCAAGGACAGGAAGGTATGTAGGAGGAGAGGCTCCTTGGGCAGGTCCAAAAAGGGGAAATGCCAGGGCTAGCACCAGTTCCCCTTCCCATCAAATCCTTCCCCAGTAACCACTTTAGCAAAACCAAGGCAGGCAGTGAGGGCAGATCCTGTCACTCAGTAGTTCCTCTGGCCCTCACTGCCACTCATGGCCATCTGCGATCCCCAAACTCCAGCTCCAAAAGGACTTTTGGTAGGGCTTTGGCACAGGTCTGCTCACAGGCCTGCCAAGTTACCTCATGCTGCAGGGCTGTATGCTACACTAGTCAAATGAACAAGGTACAAACTATTCCTTTTACTAGATTTGGGGTGAAAAGCATTAAAAAAAAAAAAAAAAAAAAAAAAAAAAAACCCCTGGAAAAAAAAAAAAAAAAAAAAACAATGTCTCTAGGCTTTTAAAGAATATTTTCCCAGGAGATGGATATTTGAAAAAGGATTTAGAAATAAGTGCAATAACAACAGGTTTATGCAGATTTACATGGAGAACCCCTCTCTAATCTAAACCCATAGTCCACAGGTCAAGATATTCATCTTGTTGTTTCCCTCTAACCCTACCAAAAGAAAATTGGTAGACAGGTGAAAAAGGGGAGCATACAGCTGGGAGAAAACAATGAGGTGGGGAGAAAAATAATGTGGGTTTTCTGTCTCTAACTTGGGGAGTTGGGGTTTTCTCCAGCACAACAGCAGTACTACAACCTGGACTTTCGATGAACCGAAGGCATTGGCCACTCAGGAGTATACTGCTTTGCAAAGCAAAGTTTGGGTGGAAATCCAATCCTTGTTCCCCAGCTAGTTCACACTGGAAAGCCAAGGCTGCTATTTTTCTTCTTTTCAGATGGAGCTGCAATCAGAAGTCACTCCAGGCATTTGGGTTCAGTATTAGCATCCTCAATCATGTAATAGTGATCTTAATGATCGAAATCACTGGGGGTTCTCTGATTTCAGGAGCTCCTCTCAGTTCTGCTGTTTTTTAACAAAAGCGGGGCACACCTGCATTTCAGTCCTTTTTTGAGAGTCCAGGGCTTACACACAGAAGAACATGGGGCATGAATGGAGGGAAAACTGCCCCCTAAAGGTGCCCAGGCATTCAGTGCTAAACTCTCCCTTGGAGTCTGCGCTTCTGATTCTCAGCTTCTGATCACTTACCCTCTGCCGGGAAAGCCAGGGCCTGGAGCCCATCTCTCTTGTGTTCTGTTTTCTGGTTTTCAAAGAAAGGTACAAATACCTGTCCTCCTCCCAGGTCCTTCAACTCAACATTCTTTCCAACATCTCTTTCCTCTTCTCTGTTACAAATATGTATTGGAAGCTTACTTATGTATAAGGCATAGTGCAAGAATATAAAATGACGTCCATTTGAGAATCCAACAGAGTTGTCTTTGCACAGGGTAAGTGCTGGCACTCAAAGGCCAGCAGTTTGAACAGACAAAAGCTCGAAAGGAGGGAGAAAGGAGGGATCCTCAGGCCCTCTTCCCAGACTCCTCCCCAAAGCCTATAAACCCACCCAAATTGTACGGCCCAGGGGCAGTGAGCCAATTCCTTTCTAGTTCTGTCAAATCTCTCTTGGCTGGATCTAACCAAGAACTGAAAAAAAAAAAAAAATGTATCCTAGCACTTTGGAAGGCCAAGGCGGGAGGATCACTTGAGGCCAGGAGTTTGAGACCGGCCTAGGCAAAAATGGTGAAACCCCGTCTCTACCAAAACAAACAAACAAACAAACAAAAACAGCCAGGCATGGTGGCTCATGCCTGTAGTCCCAGCTACTCGGGAGGCTGAGGTGGGAGGATCTCTTGAGGCCAGGAGTCTGAGGCTGCAGTGAGCCATGATCATATGACTGCCCTCCAGCCTGGGTGACAGAAAGACACCCTGTCTCCAAATTTTTTTTCAACGTAATGAATAATTCTGGGACCATGCCTGAAATTCACAACCGCATCTTTAAGAGGTTCTTTGCAAAGAACAGAACCACTAGTGACTCAATTTCTTCTTTCTCAGGAACCAAAATAGGAGAGGGAGGGCTCACTCCCCATGTTTGCCCACAAAACAGCCAAACGAAGTGTCACGAGCGAGCTGGGTGAGTTGAGTTTTACCTGTAACCACCTTGGCAGATTATGGCTGGTAACTTCAGTAGTCATTGACTCTACGTTTTCCTTTAATCTAGGGTGAGGTGCCAACAGCTTCAGGATATCGGGAGAATGTTCCTGAGAATCCCCCGGGACTGATGGTGAAAAGAAACTAAGGAGAAGCTGTGACATAAAACAGAAGACTTCACTACTTAAGTTTCTACAGGTGCCCAGGTGAAGGGGAGAAGGGCGGGGGTGAGGGAGCCAGCTTTTAGGGCAGAATTCCAGGGAGGAAGCCTTGGACCAGTGTCCCCAACACACCACACTGGGGCAGGGGTCCTCGCTTCAGCAGCCATCAGAATCAACTGAGGAACTTATGAAAAATCTAGGTCTCTACTTTCTACTACCATCTCCCCCCAGGTCTGAAGTGTGGCCAAGGAATCTGGATTTTGAGAAGGCACTACAGATGCCTCTGTTGCCTAGCCAAGGTTAAGAGCCACGATGCTGGTGCTAACACTCCACAGAAATATCTGCAGTGGGATTTTAAAACTCATCTAGGAGGAAAGAGACAGAGAGGTGAAGTCAGGAGAGAAACCTCAATTGGAGAACTTGAAGTTCATAATACCTCAGTGAGTAGAAGTCTACAAATGTCTTCTAGGATCCTCACTGTTTCTTTTCTCCATCATCCATTTTGCTTCCTCCTCTCCCCACCATCACCCCTGGATCTTTAATCCCTTCAAAGCTGGGAACCTGAGCAGTTAACCGTTAGGAAAAACAGAACACCAGCTTCCTCCCTCTTCTCCCAGCCTTGCCTCCCCTATTCTGGCCTTTGCCTCCCAGAGGATGTTAGGTTAAGTTAAAGTACTAGGTGCAAGGAGGTTCCAGTCTCTTGCTCTTTTCCCTTGCAATTGGATAAGCTGGGAGGGTAGATGTGCGTTCTAATGTAGCTTGCACCATTCACTGTCCACAATCTTGCCCCAAGTTTCCCCTGTACCGGCAAGGATTGTGTGAGTGTGTGTGTGTGTGTCTGTGTTTTTGTGTGTGTGTGTGTGTGTGTGTGTGTATGTGTGTTTCCATATACTGAAACATGTAACACAAGGAGAGCAGGTGACTTTGCTTCTAAAACCTACTCCAGTGCTTATCACCCAGCAGCTCCTGCAGTATTTGGAGACCCACTAAGGGATGCTCCAGTCCTGTGCTGAGGACACATAGTTAGGGTATTAATTCATCAGTGAAATTTGACAGAGCACCAAACTCCAGTTTGATTCATTCTCTGGCCTCCAGCAGTCTCTTCATGATGTTCCTTCAGATGCCAGCACTTGCCATGAAGCCAAACCCTGCTCAGCCTTCAAATCTCAGCTCAAGTGCTACCTTCTCTCACTATTCCAGTCCTGTCCTATGCAGTAGAGAGTACACCATAATATAGCATCTTGAACACCACGTTGTTATCTTAGAAATGTGTCACAGATGTAAGCCTTTCTCTCCCACCAGATGGCCAGCTTCTAGAGGGCACATAACAGATACCCAATAAATACTCATCCTACGGGATGGAATTGAATTAAGACACTTATCCACCCCAAGGCCCAGGGAGAGGCCTCGCATTCAGGCCCAAAGTCCTCAGATTGATCCTTATGTTTCCTTTCAGCTCTGAGAAACCCACTTTCCAGTTATGAGTTGGCAAAGGAGTTAAATGGGGAGGTACTCACAGCACCCCGGGCCATAAATGCCAGCTTTCAGAGGTCCCTCTTCCACAGGAGCCAAGGTTGGCCCTCTGAAGCCCTAATGAGTGACCCAACAGGACCAAGCCAGTTCTGAGGAGGCAGTATCCTTGGAATTCTCCCAAAAAGAGCATAATATTCTTCAATGGCAGCCACACAGCATCACAAGGTACAAGGATGAAAGCGCAGAGAGTGGTGGGAAGGAAAAGGGAGAAATCAAAGGAAACAAAGCAGAAATAACAACAGCAGTTCCCTTCTTCATTTTACTACTTGCGATCTCTCTCTGTGCCTTCTCAATGGCATTGGAAAACAAAGGTTAGGGTCAATTCTCAGTGGGAATGATCACTCCACATGAATGAAAGTCAACTACACTTCAGCCTCAGCCTTAGAAAGGCCCAAATAGGTCAAGAAGGAGGAAAAAGAATCTGCAGTAAAAACAAACATTAAAAAGAAACACAAGCCTGTGAGTTCAAAGGCAGCTTATTAATGTCAACTCAACCTGCATCATCTCTGTCAAATCTTTAGCCCTAAAACTGGAATGATCTAGTAAATAAACACAACTGAGGACTCTCGACGTTTTTAATCGCTGCCATGGCCTCATCACACTCAGTGGAAATTCGCCTCTAAATTCTTGCCCTCACTTCAGAACTTTGTAACACTCATCATGGGCATACACTCGCTTGCATCATCTGGCATTTATGTTAACAAATGCAAGACTGTAAATTCCTTGAAGACTAAAACTGTGACTTACACCTCTTTGGGTCTCCAGAGCTTCACACAATGCCTTGCCTCAAACCATTAGGCAGCTGTGGAAATGACAACAGTTTGTCTATAAAAGCAGACTGGAGAGACAGGTCAGCCCAACTGATGACACCAAAAACATCTCAGGCCAACTGGGAAATGGACAAACAGGAGTCAAGAAACCATTCCTCCTTGGGTCTAAGACCTGCCTCTGTTGGCCTTTGCACACTCTGTTCCCAAAGACAAGTTTCTTCTAACTGCCTTTGTTCATCACGGAACTGGAAAGTTCCATTGCTACTATTGACCCAGCATCACCAGTAAGTGCTGAGGCTGTGGCCATGTCCTCATGGGAAGCAGGATGGCAGAGCAGCTAAGATGCCAGGCTTTGGAAGCAGATAGACTTGGGTTTGAATACTTTCCCACCAATCACCAGCTGCATGACCTTGGGAAAGTCAGCAAGCCCGAGCTTCATCTGTCTCATCTGTAACCTGAGGATAAATAACCAAACCTAGCCTCAGGAATGTAGTGGGGTTTAAATAATCTACTCTACATAAAACGCCTAGCACAGTGTCTAATGTAGAAGAAATTCTCAACAAATGTTAGCTATTATTATTATCATTACATCATGGACTACACTTAAGATTTGGAGAAGGGTCCACAGCTTGAAGCAACTCTCCCCGAACCATGCTCCTCTCAGACACACCTTTTTCACATACTCAAACCAATTCAAAGCAACTTCCCAGAAAGGAGATCCTTTGTGAGAGACAGAAAATCCAGGGCCAGTTCCCTTAGTTCATCGATTTTGCTAACCATTCCTTTCTAGAGCCTTCAGAAACCAGTTCTGTCTCTTGCTCAATTTCTTTATCCAATTCTCTGCCAAACCACACTGGGACAGAAACCGTAAGGCTCGGCAGTGAATAGCGGGTGGGGCACAAGGAGAGCAGAGACAACCTCCAACTGTCAGAATCCAACTTACAGGCCAATTACCCAGACACCAGCAGAGTAAACTGTAAAACAATAAACAACAAAGTCCACGAATTGAAGATGCCTGAGCCTTCACTCATGCTCTCGGTATTTCACACCATTTTTCTTTTATAACTACCACATTCTCCTGGGACCCAGGAGTTGGAATGACTGTTTGCATTCCATTGTAATGGTCTCTGACTAGCATTTGTGAGGCAGTGTGTTTTACTTCTAGCAAAGGAGCTGAAGGTTGGAGTTCTGTGTATGGTGATAGGAGAGGTGGGGACCACCAACATCCCTTCCCAGGGGCTGGTTATCATGTGTGGATGGTGAAAACTGTGATTCAGCCAAAGAAAAGTTATGTAACAGTAGGTAGCCCCACACCCTGGATCTCTCATCAACAGCCAGAATGTCCTCAGTGAGCCTCAATCCCCACGTTAATGTACTTGATTTTGGTTTTTCTCCCACTGACAATCCAGACCCTGAGTCAAAGAAGCAAGAACATTCCTCACAGGCTCCTACAAAAATGTAGGAACTGCCCAATCTGATCATACACACCAGAAGGACGGTATTTCTGGGCAATCAATTAGCACTCCCTTCTCCCTTTTGTCCCCTTAACCCAGGGAACCACCCACTCAGGACCCCAAATGCCAGGGAGGACAGCACCCTCACTCCCCTTCCTAGAGAAGACAGAGAGGTGAGGGTCCAATAGGCAGCTGGACCTGATGTCATTTCAACTCACTCTTTGGGCTTCACATCTTGCTCTCTTGTTCTTTCCATCAAGGGATACACAGTAGAGAAACTCCCTTAGTGCCTCCTCCACCTTGCCTAGGGTGGCTAAGGCTTGGGCTTTTCTGAAATGTGCCTGGAAGGAAACATTAGCATTCAATCCCATTTTATTCAGCCTATTAACACCACTGCTCTAACAATAACTAACCCAGAGCACTCTCTGTTGTGTAAAACATTTTAAAAGGACTCTCTTATCTACAGCCCTAAAATGTAGGCAACTGTTCTAATGCCATTATAAAGAAGACAAAACTGAAACCCAAAAACGTTAACTTGCCCAATGTAACACAGCTGGTAAATTGTGGAATCAGGGTTTGAACCTGGGACTGACTGATACCAAAGCCTGTATTCTTAACCACTCTGCCACACTACCTTGTCTGTGCCCCATCATTGTACGGAGTGACCATCAAATGTAGCAAGAACCCCTATTTGACCACATGCTAACCAGCTTTCAGGGCCTGCCCAGCTATGCCTTCGTTTGAACTAGTCTCTCAAGTAAAGAACTAGTCCTCAGTAGTGGCTTGAAAGAGCACCTAAACTAACTGATCAATTTTCAGAAGAAGCCCGGGAGAAGGGATCTGACCTACCCAAGACCTCAAAGGTAGCTAATGGCAAAGCTGGAACTAGAACTGCAGTCTCAGGACTCCCAGGATGCTCTTCTCCACAAAGCAGACTGCCCTTCAGAGGGCTAACCAGGGGCTGAGCAGATGCTTACTCTCCTAGGGGCTTGGATCACTGCTGCTCCCTCACCACATACTTTAAAAAGTGTGAAGAAGTTTATGGTTCCTCAGGGCCCAAGCCCAACTGCTCTGGGAAAGACACTCTAGGGAGAGCAGAGAAACATCCTGGGAAAGAAGGAAGAAAAAATAGTAGTGGGGGGGGGGAGGGCTGCCCTCTGTGTGTGTCTTGAGACAGGTGGACACTAGCAACTTGGCTTGAAGAGCATTTCACTTGAGTCATCTAGGACATCCCTCCACCCAGTGGCCTGCTCCCTTGCCTCCTCCATTGGCAGCACTAAGCCTAACTTAGTGAATGAAGTGATCCAGGTTGTGGCTGCTGGATACTCCCCTGCCTTCCTTTCTAACATGCCTCTTTGCAGGCCCCAGAGCCCTCAGGCTATGGCCTGGCTGCAGGGGCTGCCCTGAAGCTGCCTTCTTGAGCAGTGGCCCCTGCTCCAAACCTCTCCAGGACCTTTCTGCATTCCCCCAGCTCCTTCTGAAGCCTTGTCTTGGCTGATACATGGATGTTGATGGCCTCCCTTGTTGCTTCTCCCAGCAGTGTTTACCAAGGGCCTTTGGGAAAGGCTTGCATGACATCACAGGGCAGCTAGAGGGGAGAAGTGTTGGGAGACTGGAAAGGCCTCTGTGTGATCCCACTAATCATATCAAGTAGCAATCCATATACTCTTTTTTTTTTTTTTTTGAGACAGAATCTTGCTCTGTCACCCAGGCTGGAGTGCAGTGGTGGATCTCGGCTCACTACAATCTCCGCCTCCTGGGTTCAAGCGATTCTCCTGCCTCAGCCTCCTGAGTAGCTGGGATTACATGCATGCGTCACCATGCCCGGCTAATTTTTCTATTTTTAGTAGAGATGGGGTTTTACCATGTTGGCCAGGCTGGTCCCAAACTCCTAACCTCAAGTTATCCACCTGCCTCAGCCTCCCAAAGTGCTGGGATTAGAGGCGTGAGCCACCGCGCCTGGCCAACCCATAAACTCTACCTGCTCAGGGCAACCAGCTCACACCACTGAGAGCTGTATCACCTGCAGGATGTGCAGAGTACCACACACTCTGTCTGGATGGCTGGAATAGAGAATAGGGCTGCCAGATTAAACCCCTACACTTGGGGCATTTTACACAGAAATGTTGGGAAATATGCAAATCAGGGTGGGAGGTGGTTTTGAATTATACGCATGACTTCCAGTCTTCTCTTAACCCCCAAGACAATAAATTATCTAATCACTGCCCCCACCTATCACTTCATCACTATGGGGAAATGAAACTCCTATTTAATACTTTCATCAACTCTTCCTTCACTGGGGAAGTCACTTTTCCCATTTCACACCCAAAATGCTTCATTGCTTCTCAGTTCTGCTTCTCGCCACACTATCAAGGTTCTTAGCCGTAAGATCTAGGCTTAGGGTGGAGGTGGAAAGAGCTGCAAGTCCTCTTACTCCTAGGCAGCTCCCTGACTTGCACTACTGGGAGGCCGAAAGTGCCCCCACTAAAGCTCCTTTGGGTTAAGACACTGGCGCCTTGTATTAAACACTAAATGTGTTCCTTGGGGAAAAAAAACATACTAATTCATCATCACTCATGAAAACCTTCTCAGGAAAGAACATACAATATTCATCTGACATTCATGGCAGAGTACACAGGTCCACATGCTTTATCTGGGTTCCAGATCCAAAAAAGTTCTGATAATCCATTGTTTTCATAAACTCGACATCAAAATTCATTAGATGGCAAAACCTGACCTAAACTGATATAAAGTGTTTAAAAATATTTAGCCCACTGAGTGTGAATTTTCACAGAATCTGCTGGATAGCGTGTTTAATTACAGGAAGCTATCCAGAGCTCACTGAGACCTAATATATGGTCCTTGCAAAATATAAAACATTCTGGATTCTGAACACTTCTGATCTTATAAGATTCAGATAAGGGATCATGGACTTGAACTTGGATACATTGGTTTTCTGAGGAAGGCATCCTTGGGTTGTGTAGAGAGAGAGCATTACACCCAGCAAGCTTTATAGCTTGCAGAATGTCCTCTTGGCCACGTTCACTTTTGACCCTCACTGCATCATTGCGAGGCAGTCAGGGCAGATATCAATAGCTTCATTTTGCAAACAAGCATACTTGGGGTTCAGAGAGTGAAGTCACCTCCCCATGGTTTCCAAGTAGTAGAGCACAGGCTCAAATCTAATCTTCTAAACAAAGTACTGACATGTGGCTGAGGGCCAGTCCTGAAGCCAGGCAAAGATACGGAAAGTGACACTTTGCATCCTGGCATCCTGAGAGGTGTCCAGGCTGTTTTTCTTCTCACCCCCCATCTGACCTAAATCCTTGGGGACACTGGCAGGCTGACTGACTATATTAAGGACTTGAAATGGCACAACCATTGTGTGAGTGTGAGGATCCCTTCAGAGAAAACTGGTTAAGCTGCCAAGGAGCCTGGCTATCAGTAGAGGTTCAGGAGCACCAGGCCAGCAACACCACTCTCACCTTCCTCTTTCTAATGTCCCTGGAAAATGATGATAATGATGGCGATAGAAAACATTTATGTAGGCCGGACACGGTGGCTCACGCCTGTAATCCCAGCACTTTGGGAGACTGAGGCAGGTGGATTGCTTGAGGCCAGGAGTTTGAGACCAGCCAACATGGCAAAACCCCGTCTCTACTAAAAATACAAAAATTAGCCGGGCATGGTGGCACACGCCTATGATCCCAGCTACTCGGGAGGCTGAGGTCGGAGACTCACTTGAACCTGGGAGATGGAGGTTGCAGTGAGCCGAGATCACGCCACTGCACTCCAGTGTGGGAGGCAGAGTAAGACTCCGTCTCAATTAAAAAACAAAAAATACAAAAAAAAGCCAGCGATGGTCACACTGTAATCCCAGGCCTTTTGGGAGGCCGAGGTGGGCAGATCTCAGCAAGTCAGGAGATCGAGGACCATCCTGGCTTTAACATGGTTTGTTTTTTTTTCTTTGTCTTATTAAAAAATACACAGAAATTAGCAGGCACGTGGGGGGCACTGAGTCCCAGTTATTGGGACGGTGAGGTAGGAGAATGCGGCGTGAACCCTGGGGGCGGCGAGTTGCAGTGAGCGAGATCGGCCATATCGCTCCAGCCTGGTCCATGAGAGGGAGACTCCATCTCAAAAAAAAAGAAAACAGAAAGAGAGAGAGAGAAAGAGAGAAAGAGAGAGAGAGAGAAAGAGAGAGAGAAAGAGAGAGAGAAAGAGAGAGAGAAAGAAAGAAAGAAAGAAAGAAAGAAAGAAAGAAAGAAAACGTTTATATAGTGCTACATGCCAGACACTGTTCTAAGCACCTTACATTATTAGCTTATGTAATCCTCACAACAGCCCTATTTAGTAGCTGCTTTGAATATCCCCCATTTTACAGATGAGGTGATGATAAACTACTGGGAAGTTAAGTCATTTGTCCAAGGCCACGAAGGTCATAAAAGTAGCAGTTGGGACACAAACCCAGGCAGTCTGGCTCCCAAGTGCATATTCTAGAGAGTCACTGTGCCCAGGCTGTTCTGAAGGTCATCAGTTGAAGACTGAATTGGGGAAGAATCCAGTTCCTTTGCAGACCTGAGTCACCCTTTGCCCAGGGATCTTTACCCTGGCTCTTTTGCAAAGCCTTCTTCCTGTTCTGCTTGAGCTCTAGAGCCCCTACGCTCCAGGGAGGCAGCCCTTCCTGCCAATTCCTGTCTACAGTACAACCCCTTCCCACCTCTCCCATCCCACACTCACCTTAAAACCCATCGGGCGGAGCTTACATGCTATTTCTGCATCATGCAGTGCGTTCTCATGAGACTCCAAGGTGAAATAAATCTGAGACCGATTGCTATAAAGCAAGTGGTCATTTGGAGCTGCGAAAATAAGAAAGAAAAACCCTTATTAACAGCCCCCAGTGCAAGCAGGTGTTAAGTCCTGTATGAGTATGGATCTTGAGAAATGACAAGTTTTCTAGGACTTTTCTACTGGAGATCAAAAGGGTTAGGCTCTATTTCCAGTCCTAATATTGTCCTGCTTTCTACACCCCCAGCCAGTCTGGGCCTGAGGTTCCCCAGCTGCAAAGTCATTTTTGCCCCCGCTCACAAGCAGTTCATTAGAAGCCCCGTGGTGTCAGTGATGCATTAGACACTTTGACATAGATGAGATGTGGCTACACACAGCTAGGGCCTGGCAGCCTGGTTTATGAGTACAGTATTACCAACAAGAAAACAGGCCAGGTAGGAAGGAGAGAGAGGTGGGCAGATGTGACCCCTATCTGAACCACCAAGAAGACAAATCCAAGTTAGTTTTCCAGGTGGCAATGACTGATGACATTAACAACATCTTAGTCTACAAAGCCCAGCACATATGAAGATTCCCTGAAGAAAATGGAAATACATTTACATGGTCCCATCCTCTCATTTCACATGGTCAAATGTAAATGAACTTGGACAAGGTTTCTGGGAATAAGGTGAGGCTGGCTCTCACCAAAAACCCCGAATTACTAGATGTCAGAGCTGGACAGGCTATTAGAGATTATCTGGCTCAATCAACCCATTCTTCAGATGGGGAAAATCAAGCCCAGAGAAGGGAAGGCATCTTCTCAAGGTCACACAGCTAGCTGGGCAGTCACTGATAACTGGTCAGACTTCGAAGCTTTGAAGCTGGGATGTGGGGAGCAGGTAGGTTCCTTTTACTGAAGGTGTGTACAGTACTTGGAATAATGCGGACACAATGGCCATCTTCCAGAACAGAGAGCCTCCTTTCCTCTTAGAAGGGTAAAGCTGGCCTTGACATCTTCACCCTGACTTCTCTAAGGGGATTAACAAAGATGCAAGGAAGAACCTCCAGGGGAATGTGGTGGCAATAGGAGGGTGAGGGCAGGAAGGGGCTTTCCTGGCCCTTGCGGGGCGGCTAAGAGGTATGAAACCTGCCTTAGAGATCTGGAGTTAAGTGGCCTCCACCTGCCTCATTCATATTGCCCTGCTCTTCCCCAAGATCTGGGCTCTAGCTTCCTCTGTGGCAACAGGCTTTGATGGTTTTTTCCCCAGGGGTGTGCTGAGGGCTTGCTTGGGTGCCCATTACTTGCTCTTAAGACATTAGCAAATTGTTTACAGTCTTTTCTGTCTTTTCTCTTCTGCAGCACACTCCAGCCTGATGGCAGCTCACAGTCCGCCTTGCTTGTGCACAGACAGGAGCTAGAGGGGTCCCCTTCTCTAGCTGCCAGCTTTGCCCTGTCAGTCCTCATTCCTCCTCCTCCTCTCCCCATTACCTGTTGCAAGCTTGAGTGGAGATTCAACACGTGGAGACTCCGGCCCACACCCCTCCTCCACTCCAGAGTCAGGTCCAGGACACCCTCGGATCCCAGGGCCCTGCCTGCCCAGCCCTGCTGCCTCCTCCCCGGCATGCCTCGCCAGACACCACGCCCCGCGACCGAGCTCCTGGCAGACTGCCCGAGCTGGGCAACACCGGCTGGCGGCTCAGCTGCCACTTCCTGGGTCCAGGCACGGTGGCTCGGAGAGAGCGTCTCCCTGGTGAAATTCGGGTGCCCTAGTCTAGCTGGAGATGTGGGACTGCCCACGTTGCCCTTGAAGCTGCAAAGCCCACCCAACCCTCCCAGGTGGCACTGGAAAGCGGGACAGAGGCGTGACCCATTCGTAGCCAGCCCACGGTCCCCGGGGATCCCCAAGCAGTTGCCAGGCCCGGCCTCCCGCCGGGCTGGCCAGGTTAAAGGGGTTCAAGGCGAGGGCACAGGCTACGGGTTGGCGGGGCGGGCGGGGAGGGGGGACATCTATTTCAGCCGAGGATCGTGTGATAGGAAGCGGTGACAATGAGTCACAGGGCAGCGGGGCGCAAGCGCTCCCCCTCCCCCCGCACACGCTCGTGGGATGGTTTCCGAAGCGAGCGTGGTGGCCCACTTCAGTTACCTCAGCGGTTACACAATCCCGCCCGCTCGTGCGGGGGAGGGGCGCCCGACCCGGGCCGCTCGCGGCCCTTATGCAACCAGTGCTCTCCTGACCTAATTCCACGCCGGACCCACCCCACAGGGAGCCGCGGCCCCGGAAGGGGCAACACCCGGTGGCGCGAGCGGTGGACGCAGGCGCCGACCGGACATCTCGGGCTGGCTACAGCCCGGAGGACCGGGCGCGAGTGCGAGGAGCGCGCGAAGTTCCTCTCCTCGCTGGGAAGGTGCGAGCAGGTGTAAGAGGAGGCCAGGAGTGCAGCGGGAGAAGGAGAGTCAGAAAAACAGAGACAGTGACACCGAGCAAGAAACAGTGACAAAGGTGCAAAGAGACGGAGAAAAAGAACCAAAAGCAAAGAATGGGGACTGAGAAACAGGAACACAAAAGCTAACAAAAGTAGCAGGAAAAGACAAAAAGCAACGGAGATCAACACAAACACAGTGAAAGACAGCTAAAGCAGTGAAAACAGGACAAACTCAGAGACCCAGTCCCAGAACCACCCCTCCCCCACCCCGGCCACAGTCCATGGGTCCCCCGCCCCCTTTTCTGCCCTGGTCCAAATCCCATCTCGCTAGGGGGTTTGTTCTCCCGCTCCCTCGTGTAGCCACCGAGCCCCAGCCCCGGCCCGGCAGCGCGTTGAACTCACCCAACTTAACTGCCTCGTTGTACTTGAGCAGCGCCGCCTCCACCTGGCGCTCGCGGTACAGCCGGTTGCCCTCGTGCCGGAGTTGCGACGCCCGCGCCGGGCCTGGGAACAACTTGCCGAGGAGGCCGCTGAGCACCACGTTGACTCGCAGCGGCGGCGGCGGCTGCTGCCCAGCCCGCCGGGATCCACGCGCCCGCCCAGTGGCCACCATCAACGCAGAGAGCTTGACCCCGCACAGCGCACAGCGCCGGTCGGCGGCCCGCCCACGTTCCAGGCACAGTTTACAAAAGGTGTGGCCACACGACAAGGACACGGGGTCTGATAGAAACCCATGACATTTCCGGCACTTAAAGCCGTCCCACACCTCGGTGGCCGCCGCGGCTGCGGCGGCCCCAATCTCTTCCGCCGCCACGGCGCCGCTTGCAGTGCTACCCTCGCCCGGGGGCGCTGGCGCCAGCACCTCGCCTTGCGGGACTTTCTCCGCCAGGCAGCGCACCAGCTGCTCCAGCTGCTCAGCCACCAGCTGCTGCCGCTCGGAGAGCTGTCTATACACCTCGAGGGCTTCCCGGATTCTCCCCCGGGACGCCAAGGCGTCTGCCTGCGTGAGCAGGACTTTGCTCTCCGGCGTTGAGGTTCCCGGAGACTGCTCTTGCTCTGGCTCCCGCGTCGGTAGAGGTGCCGGGCTCTCTGCAGCCGCCTCTCGGTGGGGGCCCATGTCTACTTGGGCCGCTGATGCCCCTCGCTCTGCCGGCTCCAAGTTGTTGCTGCTGACCTCGGCGGGCAAGCTCAGCATCTGTTCGGTCCGTAAGGACTCCATAGGAAGAGGGACACGGGAGGGGAAGAGGCGTCTAGGGACTGGGGACACGAAGCAAAGAGTGGCAGCTGGAGGAAATCGGGGCAGCCACCGCCGCCGTGCCACCGAGCTCCCGACCCTGCCGCGCCTCCGAGAGCTCCATGCCGGGCGCCCCGCGCCGCCTAATAACTGTCTTGTCTCAGCAAAGTGTTATATAAAACGGTACCACGTGACCTGCCGCCACGCTGCTCATTGGCCGGCGGCGGGGAAATTGTTACAAAACCAGACAGTTTTGTAACAGTGTTGCTCTTGCTTCTTTGGGCTTCGCTTTTCTTGCCTTCTTTTTGAGGTTGTTTGTGTTTACACGTCGCCACCTGGTTCTTTTTCGGAAGTGGAGTTGGGGGATGGGGAGAAACTCAGTGTCTTGGGCTTCTCAGTCTCCAAACCCCACCCCATCCCACGTCCAAACGGGCCAGCAAACAGGTCCCCTCTGCCAGCCGCTGACCAGTGGCCCCCTACTCCTCCTAGGAGAGGCTGGTCCTCGAGGTGCACAGTCCGCGGGGTCTTCCGGGACGCCTAAGGCTTTCCCTTTGGGGGAGATGGCTGCTGTCAGGGAAAGGAAGCAGGTTGGGAGGGGTATCCATGAAGCCCTCCCGCCCCCTCCCCAACACACACACACAACCCAGCTCCAGCCCGAGAGCCCTGGGAGCCCCGCCTGGGTTTCTTGCCTTCTCTCAGGAGCCTCACAAACGTGGTAAATGCGGTTTCTGAGGGTGCTTGGTCTTCCGTGCCAAGAGCGACTCAGAGCAGCGGGTCCCACCGGCGCAGAAGTTGGGCAGCGCTCGCTGGATAGTGAGGAACTCGCAGAGAAGATGCACTTGCCAGCTCAGCCCTGGGAGGGAGATGCCCCGCCAACTCCCCTCCTTACCTCTCTCCCCTCAACGCCAGAACTAGCGCTGGGGCGGGCGGCGGGCGCCCAGCTGGAGACATACCAGGCCCGCCCCTGGAGCCACTGGCCGGATGCGCGCGGCCGGGAGTACCCGGCCTGCTGGGGTCGGTGGGTACTCTGGGGGCGTGCGAGAGTGGCAGGCGGAAGACGCTAACTGAGAGCGCTGCTCAGGAGAAAGTCCGCGAATCCTGGCACAGCCCAGTGACTGACTGAATAGCCTCCAGGTTTGTCGCTCCTGAGCGCTGCGCGGGAGGGGTACAACTGGGCATGAGCCTCAGTGCCTGGTTTACAATGGCTAGGGGGCCTCGACGGTGTCCCACACACTTCCTGAAGGCGAGCAGGGTGGCCAACTGCACACTCTTTGCCTCCCTTGAATCCCCACATTTAGGATGGGAACTAAGCTCACAAATGAGCCGACAGAAAACGGTATGGTCGCACTGCTCCAAGCAGGGAGGCAGCGACTAGGCTTGCCGCTGGCTCAGTTGGCCTTCAGAGCCTGCAGGCTCTTGGGCAGTGCCAGGGTGCCGCCCCAGGGGCCTGAAGACCTATTGTTGCCTCCTGCTGCAGCCATCTCTTAGCTGGATGACCTTGGAGAAGCCAAACTTTGGAATCCATCATTTTTCCTTCTGAACAAATGTCAGAGCTTATCTTACTTGGGATTAAGTCATGTTTCAGAGCTGGGTTATGGCAGGCCCCCTCAGGGCTCTGCTTCTCTTTAAGTAGTTAAACCAGCCTTAGATCAACACCAAGGTCCCAGAGAACAGGTACTATGCAGCTAGCTGTAGAGCCTCTCTCTAATAAGACAGGACAGGGGGAGAGGGTCACAGGGCAGAAAGGAAGCATCATATAGGGGAAAAAAGATACACACACAGAAGAAGGAGAAGGAGAAGGAGAAGGAGAAGGAGAAGGAGAAGGAGAAGGAGAAGAAGAAGGAGGGAGAGGGAGAGGGAGAGGAAGAAGAAGAAATAGAGAAACTAGTTGTAGCCAGGAAAGCATGAGGAACACATTGGAAAAATTGGCTTGAAGCCTTGGATCTGTCACATATTTGCTATGAAACCTTAGGTGGGTTCTCCAAACCTTAGTTTCTCTTAATCTCCAAGGTTCCCTCCAGCTCTAACCTTGAGTGGCTTTCATCCTAAGACCAAATTTCGTGTTACTTAAGTACAAATGACTAGTACTCAGTTACTTAAGTACAAATGACTAGTCCAAATGCTGTAGATGGTGGCTTTAACGGGGGTTGAGGGGATAGGAAGTCAATGGAAGGCTGTCCATTTAGTCGGGTCAGACCTGAGCTTGATTTTTTTTTTTTTAGACGGAGTTTCATTATTGTTGCCCAGGCTGGAGTACAATGGCACGATCTCAGCTCACTGCAACCTTCGCCTCCTGGGTTCAAGGGACTCCCCTGCCTCAGCATCCCAAGTAGCTGGGATTACAGGCATGCGCCACCACACCTAGCTAATGTTTTTGTATTTTTAGTAGAGACGGGGTTTCTCCATGTTGGTCAGGCTTGTCTTGAACTCAGGTCCCGACTTCAGGTGATCCGCCCACCTCGGCCTCCCAAAGTGCTAGGATTACAGGTGTGAGCCACCACGCCCAGCCCCTGAGCTAAATTTTTAAGATGTAGAAGTTGGAGGACTGGCTAAGAGGCGGAGGAGGTGGCCGTGCCACACAGTAGGGGAGAAGTTGGGGTTCCTGGTGACTTGCTATCTAATTGAGGGGAGCTCTTTTCACCTCTCAGTTTCCCCTACTATCAAATGAGATCCCCAGCACTAATTATCTGCCTGCCCCTTCAGGCACCTGTGAAGAAGGACACTCGATGGGGAAGGTAGAGATTCATGAGATAGATAATGATGAAACCATCTTAATTAAAGAGCTTTACCCCTTTGACATATCTAAAAAATATACATATGTCTGTTACCCAAAATTGTTTCCTAGATGCAAATCTGGGATGTGCTTTGCTCCGTGGACGACCTTGACAAGGGAATATCTCCTGGGTTGATTCCCCTCCCTTGCCCTGTTATGGTAGGGAGGCTAGGAGAGGGCCAGGTCAGGTAGAGAGTCACAGTCTTGCAGGCATGGAGAAGAGAAGCTCTCTAGGCAGGCCCTCTTGGCTGCCGGTGCACAAGGTTGACCGTGAACTTGGTTAGGAATGTTAATAGCGTTCTGGATAATGCAAGGTACTCTGGTGTAAATGGCAGTACCAGCTACTCACTGACCAGACTCCACAGGGAATTTTACATTGTAATCAAGACTGCCCGTAGGACAACACCAAGTGGGTTTCTATTGAATGCTGAAAAACGTTATCACAGTGGTTTTCTTTCTTTCTTTAAGTTAAACAAATATTACCATTATATTGATATACATTTGTGAACCAATTCAGAAGTCTCCTTCTTAGAACTTCCTTCCCTCTGCTCTTACTAATTGGAGACTCCCTGGAATGAGGGGAAGGGGGAGATTAACACCATCTTTTTCAGGTGCACATATTCCCTTTGGAGTGTCAGATTCTCTAAACCTCCATTTATTTTGCTAGGCTCACCTTGTGGCTGAGGTTAACCAAGAAGAGAGAGCAAGGATTGAGCTGCCCCTCATTTTCAACTAGTAGTTTCCCAACTGGGCTCTTAAGAATCTCTCTGGGGCTCAGAGGAGACAAGCAGGCAGGCTTTGATCCTAGCTCCCTTCAAGCAGGGCAGTATTGTATCCATCTGTTTCACAAAAGTGAGCCTCCAGGTATGATTTCATTGAAGAAAAACTGTCCCTTACAATATCAAGTTTGAAAACCATAGCAATTTTTACACGTTTTCATGTATTTGTTGGGCATCTTCCACATACCAAGGACTGTTCTAGATACTGGAGACACATCAAAGCAGCAGCCGGGTGTGGAGCCTCATGCCTGTAATCCCAGCACGTTGGGAGGCTGAGGCAGGTGGATCACGGCAAAACCCCGTCTCTACTAAAAATAGAAAAAAAAAAAAAAATTAGCAGGGCATCATGGTGCCCGCCTGTAATCCCAGCTACTTGGGAGGCTGAGGCAGGAGAATCGTTTGAACCCAGGAAGCAGTGAACCCAGGTTGAGGCAGGAGAAGCATTTGAACCCAGGTTGCAGTGAGCCAAGATCACACCACTGCACTCCAGCCTGGGTGAAAAAGAAAAGCAGCACATAACTCCCAGGCTCTCCCTCACATATGATAGTGCATCTTTCCCCACATACACACATTCTCGTACTGGCTTCCCATGTAGGCTAGAAGCTTCAGAGGGCAAGGACTAGTATATCTCCTCCAGTGACATAAGCAGGACAGTGCTTGAACAGATCTTACTGAACATGCCAGTGAACATTCTGGCCCTAGGAGTGTGCAGAGGGACAAGAGGAAACAGTTGGAATGCCATGCACTGTGGTCATTCACAAAGCAGAGACTGGGCACACAAATAACAAATGGTTGACAGTCTTGTACTTGGAAAGGACTGCTGAGCAACTCTGGGAGGAAAGAGTCCATTCAAAGCCAGAGACCTGTGGTAAGGTGTAAGCAACCCCGTGCACACATACACATGCACACACTCTATGCCTGGAAGCTTGGCCAAAGCATGCATTTGTTCTGTATTTGATAGTCTCATTTTATAAACTGGGGTGACCCATAAATCTGCAGTCCTTACAGGGGGAAAAAAAGGAACCATGAACATTAATGGTATCGATATGGAAAGCAAGACCTCCCCTTGCTATACAGAGTAGCCAAAATCCACAACTGAAAGAAAGTTTAGCCGGGCATGGTGGCTCACGCCTGTAATTTCAGAACTTTGGGAGGCTGAGGTGGGTGGATCAGTTGAGGCCAGGAGTTCAGGACCAGCCTGATCAACATGGTGAACCCCCACCTCTACTAAGAATTTTTTTTATAAAAAAAATAGCTGGGCGTGGTGGCGCGTGCCTGTAATCCCAGCTACTGAGGAGTCTGAGGCAGAATTGCTTGAACCCAGGAAGTGGAGGTTACAGTGAGCCAAGATTGCACCATTGCACTCCAGCCTGGGCGACAGAGCAAGACTCTGTCAAAAAAAAAAAAAGGAAAGAAAAGGAAGGAAAGAAGGAAGAAAGGAAAGAAGGAAGGAAGGAAGAAGGAAGGAAGGAAGGAAAGTTAGCTTACATGTCAGCTCTGGTTTCACAAATGAGGCAACTGAACACTAGAGAAGGCAAGTGACTTGCCACAGGTCATAATGAATTTGATACGGCCAAATTGGAAGTTAGGGTTCATATCTCTTTGTCTCTTTGTTTATAGAATTTTTTCCATGTGATCTGAAAGCTAAAGAGCACAGAACATCTCCTTTTTTTTTTTTTTTTTTTTTTTGGAGAGGGAGTCTCGCCTGTCGCCCAGGCTAGGGGTGCAGTGGCCGGATCTCAGCTCACTGCAAGCTCCGCCTTCCCGGGTTCACGCCATTCTCCTGCTCAGCCTCCAAAGTAGCTGGATACTCAGGCGCCTGCCACCACGCCGGCGGTAGTTTTTTTTGTGTTTTTTAGTAGAGACGGGGTTTCACCGGGTTTAGCCCGGATGGTCTCGTCTCCTGACCTCGTGATTCACCCGTCTCGGCCTCCAAGTGCTGGATTACAGGCGTGAGCACCACCCGCCGGGCTTTTTTTTTTTTTTTTTTTTTTTTAAGACACAGTTTCCACTTTGGAGCCGAGACGGGCGGATCACGACGGTCAGGAGATCGAGACCATCCTGGCTAACACCGGTGAAACCCGTCTCTATTAAGAAATACAAAAAACTAGCCGGGCGAGGTGGCGGGCGCCTGTATCCCAGCTACTCGGGAGGCTGAGGCCGGAGAATGGCGTAACCCGGGAGCGGAGCTTGCAGTGAGCTGGAGATCTGGCACTGCACTCCAGCCTGGGCAACAGAGCGAGACTCCGTCTCAAAAAACAAAAAAAACAAAGACACCAGTTTCACTCTTTTTGCTCATGCGGA